ATTCACTGCAGTTGGGTCTCCTTTTCAGTCAAAAAGTTTGAACTTTGAAGTGTCTCAAGTGTTAGATTCAAAGAAAGAAAGAACTCCCGTTTGGTTCATTACCTTTTACACCAACTGAAAGATTGTTTTTTTTTTTTTTTTTTTTTTTTAAAAAAAAAGAACATTTAAGTACCCACTCACTCTGGAAAAGATAAAACTCAACTGGCTACAATGGGAGATGGGACCATTTCTTTCTCTTTCTTTTCACGGTTCTTTATTATCCAAGTGGGTCCTTCATTTAATTGTGTTCAAACCTCAAATTCAACCAAATAAAAGAGAAAGAAAATCTCCTCTTCTCGCCTTCCCTGCAACTCTACACCATTTCAATCATCAACATAGTAATCTTGATTAAGCTAAACCCAAGATTGACTGGGACCCAACCCATCAAATCTCCACTGTTGAATTTCAATTCTATCGTCAGCATTGATTGATGAATGTAGATCAAGCGTCCCAGATGAGCAAGGTTGGTGGGCACCGAGTCCATGATGAGAGAAAGTTGCAGATACATTCATAGAATGACTCCTTCAATTTGGCATCTTTTTTCACTCACAAAGGCAAAAAACAAAACAAAAGAGTCAAGATTCCTTGCCCATTTATCTACACTATCTTTGACAGCTTGCCCAAAGCTAGCTGCTTTTATTTTTATTTTCTTTTGGCCATTTGGTACAAACAAAACTTATCCCATTTCCCATTACTATCGCTCTCTCTCTCCATCTGTACCTGCACTTCTTACAATGTTTATTAATGTCTTGAAGTAATGGAACTGAATTTAGTTGGATCACAATCATTCATCTTTCCTTTCATTGCAATATACAGTAAATATATTCATTAAAGTTACTGCTTCTCCAACAAATAAATAAATAAGAACCATTGGATACCCTTTTCAATTCAACCCAAAATGGAAGAATTTTTTCTAACTATAGATTTATGATTTATCAACCTTCCATAAGTTCCACTTGATTTTAACTATCACTAATTTATTACTTTGAGCCCCTTTATTTCAAGAGGCGAATTCAATTTTCTTTTCTTCGAACCCCCAAAACAAAAATTATCATCATCTTACGAGCATTGGATATTCAACAAGGAAAAAATACGTATGTATGAACAAAGATAAAAACCAATAGAGAGCAACAAAACATAAAAGTTTACAATTAGAGCAAGATTTTTCTCATTCTCTGCAAATATTCAACATTACAAATTTATTTTTCTTCTCCCCTCATTACCAACAATACATAAAAATCTTACACCAAAAAGAAAAAATTAAAAAACCTCATAATAATTCAAGAATTAGAAGCTGCAGAACCTGAAACCCTAGGTGAAGTCACTGGAAAAAGCGGCAACAACCTCGGCTCCGCATCTCTTGGCGTGGTACTCGGTGACGGGTGCAAATAAAACCCCTTTTCTTTAATAGCTTTCTCTTCGGCTTCTCTGTCCATCTTACTACTATCTGCATGTAAACCACTCTTGTTAATATAATTAACGGGTCCGGATCGGTCAAAGGGGTCAGGTATCAACGGAGTAACCGGACTAAGAACTAGAGAAGGAAAATCAAGAATACTAGGAGAGAGAATCTCGGGTTTTCGGGGCGAAAACCCGGAAGTGATAAATGGGTTTGGGTTAAGAGGGTTGATCTTAAGGTTCTTGAGAGAATTTCTGCGTTCGTAAAGCTTGAAGCCAGATTGCTGTTGTTTTTTGGGTATAGACTTGATGGGAGGGATGTTATGGGTTTTGTTGGAATTAGGGTCGGGTTGAGATGCGGGTTTAGAAGCGAGNCACGTGAAAAAGACGGATTTCCGGAATTAAATATTTTGACAAGGAAGAAGAAGAAGAAGAGTAAAAGGATGATGATTGGGAAATAGAAACAGTGCACATGGAAGAATGAAAGGGAAAAAAAAGTGTAAAATACACACAACAGAAAACAAAAAACAAAGAAGACAAAACATAAAGAGGTCAGTAGCGTAGCCACCATGTTTTATGGCTTTTCCCAATTGAATTAATTTCACTTTCTTTTATTTCATCATCACAAGACCCACTCACTCCGTCCCCCCACCTGCACTTCCTCTCATGTCTCCATTCACTGCAGTTGGGTCTCCTTTTCAGTCAAAAAGTTTGAACTTTGAAGTGTCTCAAGTGTTAGATTCAAAGAAAGAAAGAACTCCCGTTTGGTTCATTACCTTTTACACCAACTGAAAGATTGTTTTTTTTTTTTTTTTTTTTTTTTAAAAAAAAAGAACATTTAAGTACCCACTCACTCTGGAAAAGATAAAACTCAACTGGCTACAATGGGAGATGGGACCATTTCTTTCTCTTTCTTTTCACGGTTCTTTATTATCCAAGTGGGTCCTTCATTTAATTGTGTTCAAACCTCAAATTCAACCAAATAAAAGAGAAAGAAAATCTCCTCTTCTCGCCTTCCCTGCAACTCTACACCATTTCAATCATCAACATAGTAATCTTGATTAAGCTAAACCCAAGATTGACTGGGACCCAACCCATCAAATCTCCACTGTTGAATTTCAATTCTATCGTCAGCATTGATTGATGAATGTAGATCAAGCGTCCCAGATGAGCAAGGTTGGTGGGCACCGAGTCCATGATGAGAGAAAGTTGCAGATACATTCATAGAATGACTCCTTCAATTTGGCATCTTTTTTCACTCACAAAGGCAAAAAACAAAACAAAAGAGTCAAGATTCCTTGCCCATTTATCTACACTATCTTTGACAGCTTGCCCAAAGCTAGCTGCTTTTATTTTTATTTTCTTTTGGCCATTTGGTACAAACAAAACTTATCCCATTTCCCATTACTATCGCTCTCTCTCTCCATCTGTACCTGCACTTCTTACAATGTTTATTAATGTCTTGAAGTAATGGAACTGAATTTAGTTGGATCACAATCATTCATCTTTCCTTTCATTGCAATATACAGTAAATATATTCATTAAAGTTACTGCTTCTCCAACAAATAAATAAATAAGAACCATTGGATACCCTTTTCAATTCGACCCAAAATGGAAGAATTTTTTCTAACTATAGATTTATGATTTATCAACCTTCCATAAGTTCCACTTGATTTTAACTATCACTAATTTATTACTTTGAGCCCCTTTATTTCAAGAGGCGAATTCAATTTTCTTTTCTTCGAACCCCCAAAACAAAAATTATCATCATCTTACAAGCATTGGATATCCAAAAAGGAAAAAATATGTATATATGAACAAAGATAAAAACCAATAGAGAGCAACAAAACATAAAAGTTTACAATTAGAGCAAGATTTTTCTCATTCTCTGCAAATATTCAACATTACAAATTTATTTTTCTTCTCCCCTCCTTACCAACAATACATAAAAATCTTACACCAAAAAGAAAAAATTAAAAAACCTCATAATAATTCAAGAATTAGAAGCTGCAGAACCTGAAACCCTAGGTGAAGTCACTGGAAAAAGCGGCAACAACCTCGGCTCCGCATCTCTTGGCGTGGTACTCGGTGACGGGTGCAAATAAAACCCCTTTTCTTTAATAGCTTTCTCTTCGGCTTCT